TTAGAAAGGACACACACCACTTTACAAATAGCCGTATATTTATACATTGGTGTGGATAATGCACAAGCGCATCTTTCAACCCCAAGTATAGACAACTTCCATGCGTACATTTCACCGCTGCGAGTGGACAATATGACGCCTTTGAATCTTTAATTTGGACACTATATACACGCATCTTTCAATACATTAAGTGGAGACAATATGTACACATGCATCCGTCTGTCCTAAGTGTGTACAATATACATATGAACATTATATTAGACCTTAGTATGGACAATATGCACATGCATGTATCAGACCTTAGTATGGACAATATACACATGCATGTGTCAGACCTTAGTATAGACAATATACACATGCATGTATCAGACCTTAGTATGGACGATATACACATGCATGTGTCAGACCTTAGTATGGACAATATACACATGCATGTGTCAGCCCTTAGTATGGACAATATACACATGCATGTGTCAGCCCTTAGTATGGACAATGTACACATGCATGTGTCAGCCCTTAGTATGGACGATATACACATGCATGTGTCAGCCCTTAGTATGGACAATATACACATGCATATATAAGCTCTTAGTATGGATTATACACATGCATACACAAGCCCTTAGTTTGGACAATATACACATGCATGTGTAAGCCCTTGGTATGGACTAAATACACATGCATATATAAGCCCCTAGTATGGACAATATACACACGCTTATAAAAGTCCACACATGGATCTTTCAATCCTTTATATGGACAATGCAGACATGCATCTCTCCAACTGTGCGGACAATATACATGCGCATCTTTCACTTTTCATCCTTCATGTCCAGTTGCAGAATAGAGAATATCTTTAGTTTGGGAGAACCTTCAGTGTTCATCGGGAAGCTGAAACATTTATTATTGGAAGTACATAAAGAATCATACGAAAGAAAGGTTTATGTCACAAATGTCCTCGATGTTCATGACTGTTTGGCTGTGCTAGGCGAACCAGACCAGGTACATCATTCAAGTACATGTTGACAGTGCCATATGTAACTTGTGTTAAGACAATCCTGATATGTATCGATGTATATTTCAACACGTGTTTAATATCACTATCGTGTCCAAATTATCTCGGTGTATACGAATAACTTAATTTCCGTTTTCATGGAATTGCCATTGATGCATCGACAAACTTACAACCAAGCTCATGTCTTTTTGCAGCGGTGTCTTGGTATTTTCGATACATTTCAAAATAATTCCAATAACAAGATGCATAAATATTTAATACATTACAACTGAAATAACGAACGATTGAACATGAATTAAATAGTCTCCTTCATTCTGGTGTTGCGAACAATATATATTATACATTATAGAATTTATGAATGTCCTGATTTATAATTTATTAAGCTATGAAAAAGAAGAAGATTGATATCATAAATAACAGATTATTAACCGTGTGTCACTGTACTGAGCTTCCTATATCAGTAACAATAAGGAGGCAACGGACCTGTAGCTATCTAGCGCTGTTGTGAGTACACACGCAGTGTTCAAATATTTTGAGGGCGATTTGTTTTCTGAGCATATATATCTCCCGATAACCTTTCGCCGTCAAGATAACCACGTTTACACCAACCGCATGCGCCTGGTTGCCTTTGTTTTACACTCTGACCTAGTCAAACAATATCAAGCCTATTTGATAGCATTTACAAAGGTTATCTAGTAATTCTAACGAAAAATCCGCGATTTGACACATATATATGTGTACGCGGAGCCCCGGTAAACATTGTGAGGACTTAAACAACATCTCGGCAGTAAGTGCTTGAACATTGCTTTGTAAATATTTTCTTTTGATAATTCTGTTTAATCAAATCACTAATATTATCTCTTTATTTACAGATTTCAGACACGCCCACTATTGGCACAATCCGGAAAGCCATTGGTTGTACTCGGCCTGATTTAGGAACGAACGGACGGGCGGACTCGACCCGATGGCTCAAATTCTTCTCAACTAAGCGGTAAACATCAAGGAGATTGTCCTTTCCACCTGCGATTTACCTGCAGATCGGTGAATCGTCATGAATCTCCCAGGTAAAACATATTCCGCTTCTAAAGGCAGCGTATCGATATCAAAGCGGACGGAATAGGAGGAAAACTTATCCCATTTTTTTTCTTTCAATATATACGTGTTGTAATATTTCCACACCATTAAATTGATTATCCATAAACCGTTCTTTTCTAGTTTGTTTCGTGTTTGAGAGTAAATGTTCCGCACAGTCTTCGATTATTTACACTGGTGTAGAATCGATGAACTTGTTTGCGTCGACAATTGTGGATAGAAACCAATATTCATCCGTAAAATATTTTACACTGCGCAACGAAATATGACGAAATAATGCATTAATCTGAACTTGAAAATTATTTTTTTATTGCCGACAATTATTATCATTATTTGAATTGTTTACTTTTATTCTATGGTATTGCTGATAAAAAAAATAATTTGCTGGGTTTTTTTTAATAATTGTAAAGATTCATGTTATGTCTATCCCTACTTCGTGCAGGTAAAATATTTTAATGATGAATTTAGGCAGATATTGGCTAAAAGCCTGGATTAAGAAATGGATTTCGTTCAATGAAACTGAGAATGACAAAACACAAACTGCAAATAGGCACCCTGCTTTATAAATACATTATCATGGGCCGATTGCTTGATAATAATTGATTATTCAGAACAATATCCTTTTATAAAATTATAGAAAATGCAGTTATCAGATGTCATCATATGTAATGCAAACATAGTTGTGTGCTTCCTAAAAAAACATATTATCATATGATTGACACATGACGAAAAGCTCTATCAAGAAATGTGCAATTATTTCTTATGAGGTGACAGGGATCTGACAAGGATTACACCACCGTCTTTTCAACGTACACCCTACAATTACATTTTATAACATCAAATAAATCACATGGAGAATCTTTATAACGCGATTGACGTTTTTTCACAATTGCTGCTATTAGAATACTTTGATGTTAATGTCACAATGAATATGGAGCAACATTCATCTAATTTTAAGTTAACATTATAAATTTTCCACTTCATTTATTTCTTTGTGTACACTTGAATGTTTTTGTCGGCTTTATTCAGCCTTCAATGGGTCATTTTAAGTCAATTCCTTTTATGAAAGCGCTTTTCCTTGAAGAAATAAAGCTGTCGATAATTGATGTAAAATAATGAATGTTTACCCAAAATTGAAAACAAAATGTCTACGGTTTCCTTCGTCAAGCTTATTAATTTTTATTCAGCGAAGAGTCTGCAGCTTCGTAATAGCATTCAGTACTCAAACGTCTCAATGTTTTCGGTTTTAAAATCTCGTCATGAATATGTTGTAGTTTTCAGCCATAACAAACACGTTAGGGATTAGTGCGAAACACGATCTTTAATCCATGGAATAGGAAGAAGAAAAAGCGGAATAATCTAAACTTAATATTCCTATCCACGAGTGGGCGTGGCCGATACCCAGCAGCTGTGAGTCAGTGCATGACACAGACAAATTTTATGTTTTAGAGTTTATGTTTATTATTTCTCAAACGTCGGAAAATTTAACTATAACTGACGATATAGAGAGATAAAGATAGATATATAGCGTACATGGTATACACATTTAATAAACTCAATTCGACATTTGTATGTGTGTATTTTAAAAAAAACTCCATAGTATCGCCGAGATTACTCCTTTTCATTCTTTAATTCTTAATTTCAACAACAAATAAATTTAACTTCCACTAATTATTTTACAAAATTAATTTATGTAATGTAATATGCCAAGTTCTTAATGGACACGTCAAATCGAAACGACATTGAAACACTCAGAATATTATTATTATTATTATTTTAAATAAAAAAGAATAGTATATAATAAGCATGTCCATTCAGTTCTGTGCGGGTTTAAACACGATTCTACTTGTAAGTGAAGATTTTACAAACCCATGTTTGTCCTTCTCCCACTGGCGTTCAACGGAGCAGGTGATGGTACTAGATCCGTACGATGAGTGTAAGTAAATACGCCAGACCATCTCTTTTCCAAACATCGCCGTGTCCCTATTCAGTGACAACTATGTCTAATTTCTTCTTTTCAATGGCCATATCAATGCATTTACGTATAATTTTGTCGGGAGGGACTGATCGAGAAGGAGTAGGGAAAGGCAAATAAGGACAGTATAGTTAACGGTGACATGCTATATTAGAAGAGACATTTAACACAATGACGGAGGGAAATTGGATGGTGTTTTTTTTTTTACAGTGGTGAAGTGTCAATGAATATGTCAAAGAATAATGAGTTTTAGTGTCATTGAATATTATTTTAATTATAGAATTGTTTATTGTGTTATGGCGAGTAAGAGTTAGAGTACGAACGTGTATAAATTATGTTGGCTGAAATAAAACTATCACTTTTCAAATGCAAATTAATTATATGTCTGTGGTTTTCTTGTATGACAAAATTGCTGAATAGATAATTAAACATTTGTATTTAATTAAACACTTCCAAAATGATAAACATTTAGTGATGTATACTCGGTACTCGGTTTTAAATACCTGTAACAAGATATAATTATTAATCCTTAATCCCCCCCCCCCCCCACCACACACACACACACACACACACACACACACACACACACCAAACCCCTCCCCGACATGTACAGAAAATCCTTGATGAATATATATAAATTCAAATCAAATTAACTTCATGAAATACATTAAACTATCTACAGCTCAAAGTGTCACACACTTAAATAACAATATCTTTTTAATTTAAAAATATGTGTAGGGCTTATTTATACATTACAATGATATTGGGTTTTGTTTGTTATTACTCAATATAACTAAAAATAGTAAGCATACATACATTTATTTCTGGCTTTTGATTTCTAAAACTGACACGATTTCGATCGGACTTTTTAAAACAGTATAAGTGACCCTGTACAGTTATCAAATATTAAATACTTACAGTACTGAGATATGATCCCGAGGATTATAATCCCGATATCTGATGCAAGATGATCTGCATGTAATCCATCTTAATCCGCTGGGGTCGGGGACATTGTTTACACAAACGATAAGACGTATATCCATCATGAATTTTTATGAAGTAAGATGACGGTATATACTTCAAGACAGTTTCGCCAAACCAAAGAAATGTTGAAACGTCAAGGCTAAAAGATGAACCCATAGCTAAACCTTTGTTCGACATATATTTCTGAATATCCTGGCTTATATAGTACAAGGATAATTAGAAAATTCAGATATGTTTATTTCCATTTAACATGTTAATAAAGTATATGTTGTTGTTAACATTATGACAATTACTTGCTAAGGAAAGGACAGTTCATAACAGTTTGTCTATGAAATTGACACCATTCTTTGCGCGTACACTACAGAAGGTATTATTGATTCATGGGTGAAATTGACAACATCCTAATGAGTGAAATCCATACTTGTATATATCATTTCAAGCTAATTACACTCTGGTCAATACCATCACCTGTTTACACAGCTGAGATTCTCTAGAACTTGTATATTTCAGGAAACACATGGCATTGAACGATATTGGATGAACGATATAAAAACGATAACCGATCTTGATATATGTCTGTTCATGTAAGACCTTGCACAATTAAAACGCATGGTTTTTTCAAATAAAATAACACAAAAAATAGTCATGAACGTTTAACGATCGATAGTTCCGTTTTTCGATCATACAGACATATTGTATTTATCCCAAATTAATATTCTCTTTACAAGTGTGAAGGTTGTGCTTTAGTCATAGAGAAATGACCACAAAAGTCATACCACATAACAACACCTTTATTAAAACATCAATGAGCAGCAAAAGTGATTATGTTTCATCGCAATTCAAATACCAATCTGGACACTCTTTTATCATTACCAAAATGATTCATAGATTAAGTCCATATAAATCTTAAGTCCATATAAATCTTGAACAGAAAACATCTAAATTGCCGGGGTTTTTTTTGTAGAACTTTTCTTCTGAAAGACACTTACCTACATGTAAGCAGTTGATACTGACAAGGTCACCACATTAATGCGATCATTATAAGCCTCCCATATTCTCCACATGATATGGTCAAATATATATGTCTCTGAAGGCACAAAACAAACATACGTTCAACAAATCGAAACAAGAGAGACACGGCGTCAGGGACAATGCGTGAAAGGCATTGCTTATTGTTTGTTCTCTCATCTAAGAAACGGACATCGCCAATCTCGCATATAGGTTTTAACTGGACTGACAAAGAAAGAATTTGTGGCAATTTATTCATGCCAAACCAAGTGTATTTGCATCTAAAAGGCTGTCCGCACATTAGTGTCAATGTTTAAGAAGGCGTATATAACGCAACGTTCAAACTCTGAGATTGCTTCTTCTGTTTTTTTCATATCGATTACGTCAGTCAACGCAAGCGAGGAAAATGAACCTGGTGATTTTATGTGCGCACTACATAGTGATTCATATTTAATATGACAAGAACAGTAACACAAGTGGAACTTTGTCTAACAGCTGGGTGTGGCTGCATTCAATGTGTGGAGTCATTGAATATGTGTCAGCAGTCAATATATGCGTCTGTAGTCGTATATTTGAAACTGAATATGCACTGGAATATGTAATTCACAAGCTTTTCCATTTTAACCAATAAAACGCTTGATTATATTGAAGTGGGTGATATATTAATTCCCCATATGCCATGTAAGCTAGAAGCTAGATAGATATAGCACAAAACATACGACTAGATCTAGTTCCACATCTTCATCACCTCAATCCGCACTCACGTGCCCAAACAACCCCACCCCCTCGGCCACAATCCCCACCCCAGCCACCTATCTACCAATCTGTCAATCTGTACAATCTGGTGATGGCCCTCGACACATTGCCATTTAAATTCAAAAGTCTGTCTACCAAATATGTAATATAATTGTCTGGGGTCGGCAATATCTATTAAAGTATCAATGTCAACGACTGACCAAGGGTTTAATCAAGCTTTCATTAAACGTCACGATTAACGACCATGTGGTAAAGAAAGTCGAATTTCATTAACTCTTCCTAACCCTTATAATCATTGAGAAAGTCTGCCTCACGATTAACAACGAAATTGGAGTAATTCTTTCGTAAACACTTGTAAATCTATGGCAGCCGGTTTCTACAAAATCTTATCCCAAAACCTTTAAAACGGACTTGGCTGATACGATTGAGAGGAGCTATCGTGTTATAATTCCGATATTCGGGGATTAACAGAGACTATGGAAATATCTCCAACGCTAAATCCTGTCAGCCTAATTGAGTTTGATATTGGCTCAATGCTGGACATCCACGCTCAATACAGGACGTCGCGGCAGCCATCTTGCGAGCGGACGCCCAGCTTTCGAGACCCATGTCGATTTCATGCTCAATTACGCTGATCGGTTATTCCCGGAGCTGCAAATGATTTTCGATGCAAAGCTTTTCTCTTCTACGCCTAATATGAATATTGCTTCTATTGTCCTTGCAATATGGTCGCTGTTAGGCGAACAATGTTTCAGGCTACCGCTTGCCATGTGTCGAACTGGGCGTGATTGACGCGCAGTAAATCCGTCCGCACGTGCCCGCATTCGGATCGGAAGCTCCGGACAATCTTTCCTGCGTGTCCCCTTCATTTCAGACTTGGGCAATTTCCAGGGTAGTCCTTACAGCTAGTTTATTATCCTCTAAATGTTGCTCCTTAGAAAGGCTTGGACGACTATGAATGTCATTTGTAGCCCATGTCTCTGATGGGGGATGTCTCATTATTTTAACCTAAACGGTTTTAGGGTAATTTGGGGCTCTGTAATTAACACAGCATCAAAAGAGCGCGCCTCTGGGGAGGAAAGTTTATAAAATAGGGGTATTAAACCGAAACCAAAAATATTTCCAAAGTTTGATAAAGATTTTGAACTGTTGTCCTGCTTTGCGATAAAATCGCATATTCGTTAAATGGACTAACATATCGAATCGAAAACCTAATTGGAAGGAAGGAGAATTCAAATATCTATCACTGATTGTACAGTAAATGTTTCCGGATAAACCTAGATACAACCTAGATAAAAACTAATAATACCTAGAGCATAAATGAAACTATTTCCGAAATAAAAATTGATTTTTTTTATTTATGTTCAATGAAAAGAAAGAATAATTCAGGTTTAAGAATAGCAATGGGATATAAACACCCGGGCAAAAGAAAGTATACACTTGAAAATTATATTTGACCAAAACATTACAAACGTTATCAAAACGTTACTAGACTGAAAACAGTCGCCGAAACACTGCCAACTAAAGTCCAAAACACAAATATGATACCCGTTTAATATAACATCACCATCGACTAACCATTTCTTGTTTTTCTTCATTTTAAGCACACATCAAACATTGGTGTATACTTTCTTGTGCAGTTTAGATTTAAGATATGGATATATTTCAGTTGGGACGTATCTTCCGATAACTTCAAATAAACTACGATGTAAGTATGTAAATGAAAACATAAGTAAAGTAGCATTTTGTTGTTTTATTGGCAGTCGGTATCCCTTAAAACCAGCTCTGTCTGGGGTATTTTCTTTACATTGTCAGATACCAAAGCGATTACACTTCCAGTTGACCTTGTCCTCTGACAAAATCCACTATATATGTCCCGGGTTCGCCTCTGACGCCGGCCACTCTCTCCCTTGGCGATCTGTGAGGAACAGCCCTAGAATTTGAATCTCGTGCTATTGACGAGAGCTCGGTGGAAAGCATTTCGCCAACTTGGACTAGTGGAGAAATTTTGTCAAAGGGGATAAACAAGAAAAAACATTTACGTATCAACATCCTTTCGGATCTTGGAAATATTTCATGGTAGTCTTCTGTATTTCAAAAAAGACAAACGCTCGAAAGTCTGGCGTATGAGATGCATGGCGGGTTATGCAATGTGAAGTTTCGGTTTGTCATGAATAATGTAGATTTTCCGGGATATGTGTTTAAGTGCAGAACGCAAGCCAACATCTAAATTTAAAATATATAAATATAAAAAGACGTGAATCAGTTTCATGTGTTTTAATGCAAAATCTTATCAAATATAACTGTGACATTTGAAAAGATTAATATCGATGGCCGAATAATAAATATATTTAAAAATTATCATTAAACTTGAGCGAAATATCATAAATAGTTTTGATAAAAGATAATAGAATGCGAAATCATCAAAAAACTGTTAATTACACTAATAATATTTGAGATTTTGTACACAGTTTATTCATACTTATATAATAGTCCCTATTTCTTCAATATTCACTATATACAACACTATGCCAGTATCCGACTTTACCACAGCAAACACATCTCCGCTAAGTTAAGCGTATTCATCTATCAACAGACCATTGAGTGTGTCTCCATGTGACCAGCATCTATCGTTAATGCCTTGTTTTCAATTTTGTCACGCAATTTAAGATTAAGTACAAACACACAATTTGATGAAAAAACGAGCCAAGGTCATTTAATGCATTTCTCAGCCATCAACAAACTTCACTGTGAAATATATTTGCATAGCGAAGGGTCTGATCTTAAATTACTGCTAATACTGGTAGTAATCCTCTCCTCAAACGAAAAATATTGTGTCTCTGACTCTTCAAATATTTATATTTTTTACATTGAAATAAGTTGAGCATATTTATTCAGAAATGTATACTGCCTCGGTAAAGTGTTGGCACAAAATATTGAAATAGACAACTTCGCGTGTCTTTAAGTGCAAAAAAGCTGCAACAATGTATGGCTTTATCAGTGAAGCAAAAATCGAATTTTGAAAGAATTTAGATATATGAGTTATCGACAAGTCTTCGTATCACCCCACGAAGTAACACAACGATAAATGGCTATCGAATGCCTGCTTCAATGGGGGTTGGACGCTGAACAGCCCGAGGGTAGACAAAATCGACTTCAAGTTCATAGAGTGCAAGGTATCACCGCCAGAGAAAACAAAACACATGATCAACGATATTGACATCTTTTACATTTCATTGAAATATACATGCGCTAATTTCGCTAACTGAGACTTAAGGTAATGCCCGGGATATTCCATAATGTATGTATACTGTAAACTGTCGGGCAAAATAAGTACATACCTATGTTTGGTGATGGCTAAACATGAAACGAACCAGAAATGTTTTTCGATGGTG